CACAATCTTGAACTACTCTTCTCCCCCTCTCTGTCTCTCACTCTCTCACGAACGCCAAGCTCCTATATCCATACAATTATATCAAATATCCACACATATTTCACGTGTTTTTTTTCATCGATCGTAATCATAGTTTAATGTGAATGTGGGACAAATTAAAGTTCAAACTTCAACTCCATGTTCGAAGAAAAAGAGTTTTGGGCTGTGAGTGGCTGGAGAAAGGTACATAATAATTATCATAATGTAGTGAACTTCTGTATTGTAATTCCGCATCAAAACTGAGTCAATCATAATCATAATTATAAAACTGCGTGTTTTATCATGAACCATTCGCATTCGTATATATTGTGTGGATTATCTTATGCAGTACGGTTATTGGTGGGATTAATTATGAACCCCTTAGACCCCTCTTGATTGCTTTCCTCCTACTTCCATCAATTGCTTTTAAATACACCTCTCATGTTCCCTAGCATTGACAACACTGTAAAATGACGAAGAGACGATTACATACTCGTTCCCAATCGTCACTTGAGAAAAGAATCTTCTTGGGGCATTTGTAGATCGGCTTAAACAAAGCTCATCCTTTGAGAATGCGTTAAGAAAAAAACACGCTGTTTTGAGGCGTTACATGACGAAGTAGGATCATAATCAACAAATTTATGATTAGGATTAATCTTTTCCTACTGAATGCCCTTTTAAAGTTTACATTTTTGTTAATGATTCCTTTCATGGATTTGTAATGGTATGAGCTCTTTTTTAAAGGATATACAAGAAAGACATGTTGTTTACAGATGTTATAGAAATGGTATAGGCACGATTAGAAATACCTTACTAAAGATTATGATTAGTCATACCTCTTTTTAAAAATACCTTTTATTCGTTTCTTTTCTTTTCAGCCAACATTAGTTTCACTTTTCTTTTCTCCCCATGATTGATTATATTTATTCATTTATAATATAATAACAGATGGCATGATAACTTTCTTTGAGAATACATCAGGGGAAAACAATTGTTGAGGGGCGTTGTAAATAATGACTTTGCGCGATCGCTGCTAAATAAAATATTTAAGATTGCGATTTTTGTTACTACAAGCTTTTTTTTCTTCTTCACTATAAAGTTTCCTTTCGTCTTTTTCTTTTCGGTGAATGCTTAACCTTTTAATGAACTTCTAAATAATGGTACACTTATTTATCCAATATCCGAGTCACGTTGACCATTCCCAATAATAAAAGACTTACAGATGATTGGCTATCTTTTGGGAATTGGAAACGTGCCCTTGGCCTTTTTTAACAGCGGGAATAGAAAAGTGAAAAGAGGGGAAAAGGAGGATATAATACAAGTTAACTCTCCATAAATCGAAGTCACATAAGTCGAATTTTCCCTAAGTCGAAATGTCGAATAGGAACAAGCTTTGCAACACAATATTTACACTTCCTTAGTCGAATTTTGCATAAGTCGAACTATTTTTTGCGGTCCCGAAAAATTCGACTTATGCAAAGCTAACTGTATTATAGGGGACAATACATTTGAGGATGACACAAAACACTTACGCGTCTTCAGTTCTTGGAAAGTAATTTTTTATTATGAACTTTGTGCCTCAACAAATCAATATTCAATGAATTCATTCATTTCAGAAATAAAACAGACATTAGATCGAGTGTTAGGTGAATTAAACATGGGAAAATCAAGAAATTATATTTATACTGTATGGAACAATATAAACCTTTTGTTAAATCGAATTAAATCGACGCCCCTGATAGTGACGTTTGACAACCTGAGTTCCTCATTAATAGTAGAAAAGAACTGGAAAAATCCAAGCACACCCACTCAAACATGTCTTTCAAACAAAATAATGGTTCTATTTATATGAATATACGAAAATATGAATACAAAACCTTTATTTGGACACGTTTACAACTGGGAAAGAAGGATAAAGCGACTTTTCTTAATGACGAGATGTGCAATATCTGGTTTTAGCCGAGCTGCCGTAATTAGACCTTATGGAATTACTTCTTACAACTCTTCCACCATCTCCTATTTAAGGGTATCAAATGTAGATCAATGGTTGGTCAAAGGCTGTTAGTGTTTATCACGGGGATTTAAACTCGGTCACACTCATTCACAGGCCGGTAAAATATCTAGACCATGGCATTTTGATAATGTTGTGTATTATATCACGGGAATACTTGTCACTCTAATGATAGAGAGTGTGTCAATATGAGTTTAGGTGAAGCTTCCATTCATAGGCGTATAATGAGGCAGGGGGCTGGATGCACCCCCTACCTCAAAGATGTTGACAGTGTCAGCATTCAGGCACCCGCCACCTCAGAACTTTCGAGCAGTGACTTTATATTTGATATGGTTCTTTGCGTATTTTGATGATGGAATTGCACTTTCCCCAAAATAAAGTGTCATAAATTGTAAAGTCGATATTTGGACAAGGGACGTCTCAGCCCCTAGCGAGACGGTTTAACTTAGATTCCACATCGTTGAGCCTTACCCTACCCTCCTGGGAATTGAGTATGATTATAGATCCAAATGCAAGGCGCGCGGCTGAATTTCGTCAGTCTTTGTAGACATAGGTGTGAGACTTCTAATGTTGGAATAATAAGAGTGATTAGTATGCATTAGATTAGTCATAGAGGGCTTGATAGATGTGTGGAAAGGGAGAGATGGGCCAATGTTCCAGCCTGAATTAGGCGATGGATATGCGATCCTTTAAAGAATAAAACTACTTGTTTGTTATTATTCAGAGGTGGTGGCAAAGGTGTTTTCAAAATACATTCATACCTAATCCACCACCTAGGACCCAACACTATCCACTCTCTGCCGTCCCTCAGACTCCACTAGAATTTCAAACATTTTGGTCTAAAGATTAGGTACCGATCGAGCACCTTTTTAAAGCCCCACTGTACTACTTATAGCTACCTGCGCCCTCTATATAGCAAACAATGCCTAATTTGTGACCGTTGGTCCCCCATGGTCCCCTTTTTCTTATGTTAATTGACAGCTGATTTGATGAGATAACCACCTGTCAGTGACCATGCAGGGAGGTCTAATCCCTCCTGGCCAAACTGGTTCAGGTAGGTTTTAAGCGATAGATTCACCCGAGATGTAACACATTTTTTTCCGAGATAATACCAAAGTGGCGCAGTACGTTAAACAAAATAAAAAAATTATTTTTCAAAAGGCAGAATAATATTCGTATTGATAAATGAATAATCAAATGACATGTGTTTAGGTTAAGATTGATTTGTTTCCTTTTTGGTCAGAGACAAAATTATTAGTATAGTGTAGTAAAGTAGGAGATAAAAGAAAGACTGGTGACCTTTATTGAAGTTATTCCTAACTCCAAAATTTACATTGCGATCATTCACGCTGTTCCCCCCCCCCCCCCAATAATAATCATCATGTCACTTTTATCGAGTTGTGATGCCTCTCTGAAATTCTCTTTTAAACCTGTCGAGGAAAAAAATCTCACATGATAACATCATTCAGCCACAATATGTCAAATCAGCAATGCATCATTTGCCATTGTCCAGGTAAATCTAAGAGCGAGAGGTAGTAATGCGGATAAAGTTCTATTTTCCATCGGAATTCATTCCATCTCACGCAGCCGGGCAGGCCCATATCATTATCAGTTATATGAGATGGCCCGCATATGTCGTGCTAATTTGTCCATGTTGCATGCCCACGGGTGGTTGTACTTTTCAACGGAAATTAATGCTATCAATTCATATATTTGCCAACTTCTATTATTAACTTTGACCAGTCTAGTAATATAGATTGAACACAATCATAGCAACAACAAAAACAGCAGCAGCAGGATTAATGTGTGATCTCGATCGATAGGAACCAAAATCATTTGTGAATAGAATTTCAATTAATATTTGTGTACAAAAATGTATCATTCCTCGGGGAAATTACAAATATACAATGGCAAATTTAATGTATACCATAAAGAAGAAGAGAAAAAAAATACCATTGGAAGACGCAACCCCCATGGCGGAATTGCTATTTTTTCTTTTGTTTAGGGGGGATGGAATCGGCTGTTTTACGCTGTTTTCATTTTCTTTCTTCTTCTTTTTTTCTCGTTCACTCAATTCAATGGACCTGGTAAAACCATTAATAAAATGGAGGGGACTTCAGATCAAATGCTCAATATCTCAACAGATAGATAGATATAATCTCGGAACGCGTCATACTGATCTTTTCTTAAAACTACATTATACAATTTGAGGTAAACTTATGCTAAATCCTACTAGAAAAAAAGCTTCACTGCATATTTTATATTCGGTTTTCAACATGTTCGGATTTACTTATGGGCAATTAATATAAGAAAAAGGCCTCAAAAATTTGTGAATCTGTTCAAGATACTTTGCAATTTTCTGAATTAAAACAAATCTCACCCAATCCCTAATCATATACAAGATCATCATAATAGGTAAAGACAAAAGTATCGAATTCCTTTGAAATACTGTCCTCAATAGTTAAGTTGTTACTTAATTTAAGAGTAACTGTACGCGGTACGAATAGATTCTAATTATTCTAGTTGGAAAATGAATTTCAATTTTGCAAAAGTAAAAGTTGATTACAATTTCAAGGAATTAAAAAAAAATAGTTTATAAGTCATGTCAAAATATTAAAAATTAAGATTTAATTTTTAATATTTTGACATGACTTATAAACTATTTTATAAATTCCTTGAAATTGTGATCAACTTAAAGCACGCATTGTTGGGGAATTATGTCATGTAATGAGCTGACAATTGATGATGTAATCATGTTAATAATCTGTTCATTTTTTTCCACTTCTCCTTCTCTTATGCAGATGATGCATGGAAGGAATTTTAAATAGTTTAACAGTCATGTCAAAATATTAAAGAGTATACCCAAAACACGCACTGTTTGGGAATTATGGCACGTAATGGGCTGACAATTGATGATGTAATCATGTTAATAATCTGTTCATTTTTCCACTTCTCCTTCTCTTATATGCAGATGATGCGACAAGCACGCTACAAGAGCTAAGGAACAGTCGTCAATGTTTAAACAAAAACTCGAAAAAGGGACACAGGGGAAATCATCAACAACTCACGGGAGAAATCAAAATGGCGCACACGAGCTACTTCAAACTGCCTCCGTATCCCTCTCAGATCATCCAATGTTAACCCCGCTATTCAAAACGTGTAGATAGAGGGCAAGAACTGTCGTCTGGTGACCTTTTTATGAATGTAAACTAGTTTTAATTCGGTTGTTTGAACGACAGTTGTGATGATGCTAGAATAGATGACGTCATCACAGAGCCCTTTCATAAAGCTTTCAAAAGGTTAAAAAGTCTATTAACTTTTGTTGTTGTTGTTAGTGCTTGATTCTCATTCTTGTTAGCCTTATGCTAAGGAGTTAGAAATGGTTGGTATAATTGGTTTCAAGTTTAACACTGCAGTACTATAAGTGTATGAATATATAAATAGATTTTAGGCCTAACGGAAGTCTTGTAATTTGAGTTTTATAATTACATTTATTCGCTTTGAGATTTACCAATGATGTATATAGGCCTGCTCTTTCCAACCCCTCTCCATGCAAGCCCTCTCCCATCGAGAGAAAAGGTGATAAGAAATTGATAGATGTGAAAAGCATTGAATCTTCACTTGTGAATAAGAATTATTTATTGTCGGTCTGTCTCATTTCTTGGTTGAACACTTCGTAAAGTTCGTTGATATTAAACACTTCTGAGTGTGCGACTCTGGTATCATAACCACCCTAATATACCCGTATATACACCCTAATTGGACAAAGCAAAAAACGTACAATTTTCTGTTAATAGTGTGTTCTCTTTAGAAAACTAATACCGAGATACTTCAGATTCTGCTGGGAGTCTTTAACGTCGGCATCGTAGAGAGTGTGATGTCGTATAGCTGTGGAAGAAATGTGATCACATGATAGTGTCCAATTTGCAATTCATGAACCCCTGAGAAAAGAAGGCAAACATAGGATGAGTGGTTAACCCCTCCCGAACTCTGTCCAGTTTTGGAGTGATGTGAAGTGTAACCCTATCCCAGATTTCCCTATAAATCGATGGCATAAGTATCCAATGTGGAGTTGGACTAAGTAGTAACAATCAAGCCTTCTTTCCCTCCCATTTTAATCCAGTGAATGTCTACGTTTTCTTCTTTTCTTTGTTCATAATAATCCATTTACTGTCCCAGACGATACAAAAGTAAAACATGTATACATTTTGAAAGGAAATGAGATTTGGCAAACATTCAGTTTCTTCCATTTTCAGACAAAATAAGGAAAGCTCCTAGTCTCCTTAACTATGAATATTCGGTTTAAGCTCTCTTATTTTCCAGCTTGATGTACATTCCCTTTTTTTGGCATTACAAATACCTGAAATAGCTCGTGTGACAAGTTGCTGTATTGTATTTCATTATAAAATGAAAAAAAAAGACTTATTAAGAACGATATATAATATGTTCAGAAAGAAAAAAAGGCAAGACTAGAAAAAGTAAGTTGTTAAGTTTGTTTCATAATGTCGTGATTTCGCTTATAACTTTTGGCTTGAAGAAGAATTATAAGTGTCAATTAATACTGGATGTGTAAACTGCTTCTTTCATGGATACAAAGATATCAATATCTGAGATGATTAACCGCTTCTAAGTCTGTATATTAGAGACTCGTAACGAATGCAAATTATATAAGAATACGATATTATTTGAGTGAACTTAAATTTGAAACATTTCGTGTATTCGTTCTAACAAGATTGAGGAAATTGTAATTCCATTAATTAAACCGGTTAATGACTTGAATTGGTATTCGTTTCGCGTGTAATTTTATTCTTGAATGTATAGTATTTTTATGTGGAGAAAAATATTAATGTATTACATTGTGGATAAACGCTCAATGCCATACATTATTTTCGAGGTTCAATGTAATATTTTTCAGCCTCGATCTCACCTTGATATTAAAAGAGAACAATAAATTTATCTGAAAACTTAGAGAATTTAATGAATCCATGACTTCATCATGAATGTACAGAATAGGAGGGTCGAACATTATTTGTCCATAAAGTTGTTTCCAATAAGTACAGACTTCTTTCGTTTGTCAAATAATTTTGTTTTAAAGAATTATAGGAACCACATGATGTTTATAATTATAGATTGGTGCTAGAATGTGCTAACCTACTCTGTTGTATAATTGTATTTCGTTTTTAGTTTTGATCTACAAGATAAAAACTATAATCAAGATAATGTTGTTTTATTCGTGAAACAAAGAGAAGATTGAGACTTAAATTCCTCCTAATTTAGATTTGTGTCATTCTAAATATTAATATTCGATAAAAACATTTGCTCGTGTAATGGACAATTGGAAATATTTCAAGGTGAATTAATTAACAATATTAGTAAATTATTTAATTCTATACCATTAATATTCTTTTGATGTAGTAACATTGTTAAAATACATTTATAGTTAGATGCTACCATTGGAGCTCGTCGATGTAAGCCTAAAGAGTACCAATAGGCTTAAATTAGAAAGTTCGATTGATATTTTTCTCTCTAAAATCAGTTATTGCAAAGCTTGTCGTTACTCCCGTCCTGAAAATATGAAAAAGTTGGACAATTGAAATAAAATTTAAAAAACTATCACAACTTGAAGAGTGTATGTCTTTCTCATAATAATTATTTGTATATTGTGCATTTCCAAATGAAGAACTAGGTGTTGAAATCATCCTAGTCTATAATATATTCACTTTGTTTACAATTAAGATCAAGTAGTCTCATAAACAAGGCTCATTCAGTTTAAAGAATATTTGACTGCTTTACACAAAACGACAGTTTATCGCTAAAGCGCTTATTTCGCTGAAAGTTATGTACTACAAATAATACTGTAATACGATGAATTCAGATAAATAAAATTAATTTCATGGGTAAGCGATGGCATTTTATTCGATATTGATGGGGTAGAGTAAATCAAGAGCATTGTGAAATAAACTTTGACTATTGTATATCGAAAAGAATGAATTTTGGATATACAAGTAGAGGATGGTGTGAGGCATGAACGAATAATTTGAACAAAATGTATGCGGACAGAGAGGAGAACAACTGATAGAAAGGAGGATACGAAGAGAATAAAGCGTTGAGAGATGGAAGAATCTAGAGAGAATAACACTGTGAACATGACGGACAAAGAAGAAAGAGGACAAAATATACAGTTCCTCATTCTACCCTCGACAATTGCTGTGGTACACTAAGGAACATCTCTTCACTGCTATTATGTAAAAATGTGTAGAACAGGTGTCACATGCATATTCACCTCTTCTACACATTTTGTACATAATAGCAGTGAAGGGATGTTCCTTTGTCTACCACAGCAATTGTTGAGGATAGAAAGAGGAACTGTATATTTTGTCCTCTTTCTTTGTCCGTCATATTCATATTCTAATAAAGTGAGCATGTGGAGACATACGAAGGTTAGAGATAAAACGAAGGTCCGAAGACAGTGTTTTTTTGTTTTAGAAATTAAAAAGGTTGCTTTTTCTAAGTGAAGCTCGAAACCACAACCTCATATACACTGTCTACAATCCAAAGCAAAGACAAGCGCCTTTATCGCATATAAATCGGAGTCCTATATGTACCCTGAAACTAAAAAGAAAACCGTTTTCCCCAGGTGAGGCTCGAACTCACAACCTCCGCATGTCTACAGAGTAGCCAGACGGTCGCTGGGTACTGTCTATAAGTACAGCGCGCTAACCAATTGCGCCACTGGGGATGTTGAACTCATTATTCGATATGGATAAATTGAGATGTAGAAAGTAGAAGTGGAGTGAAATCGAGACAAACAAATATGGGGCCTGTCACCACGAAATGAGTCCAGTTGGTCAAATTTTTTATTCCTGTTTTTAAGTATTATATGAATCTACATTAAGTAAGCTTTAAATTAAGGGGTCACACATTAAAATTGATAAATTATATCCAGAAATATGAACAAAAACCTAATTGGACCTTATAAACAATGGGATTACCCAGTTTTGAGATAATTAGGTGTAAAGTTAATGATGCGTAACATAGCCTATATTATTTGCCAAAAATGTTAGAAGGAGATATTTTCGTGACCTAAGCTCTGGGGACATAAACTACAAGACATTAATAAATCGATTTTTGGAAAAATCTTAAATGTGGTAGGTGGGTCAATTTTCAGTACATACACACTATACATCGCTATTACTACGATTGAGCCTAATGCGACACTGGACTCATTTCGTGGTGACTGGCCCCCATATTTATTACGCTAATATAGATTAAAGAGAGATATTCATGTGGAGAGAGAGAGAGAGAGAGAGAGATAGAGAGAGAAAGAGATAGAGAAGTGGGAGAGAGAGAGAGAGAGAGAGAAAGAGATAGAGAAGTGGGGAAGAGAGAGAGAGAGAAATAGAGAGAGAGAGAGAGAGAGAGAAAGAGCGAGAATGGGGAAAAGTTTAAAAGTGGGGTGACATCCAATTGTAAGTTGAGCAGGGCTGAATACAACTCATATTTTGTTATTAAAACATCTAAATATATTTCATAGATTTTTAAATATTAAACAAAAGAAATTCTCAGACCTGCTTAGCTCCACCCTAAAAAATGCTCCAGATCTCATTCATCTTGTAAAATCATGTGTCAATCACTAGTGAGCTAACAAGAGACAGTGTTACGTAGCTTCACCAGAGCTGACCACCTGATTACATTGGACCATACAATACCAACATAGGAGTTGCTATGTCAGATGTTCTGTAGCATCATCAGGAAAAGAAAAACTGATTTCCCCAGGTGAGGCTCGAACTCACAACCTCCGCATGTCTACAGCGTAGCCAGACGGTCGCTGGGTACTGTCTATAAGTACAGCGCGCTAACCAATTGCGCCACTGGGGAAGTTAAAATCATGAGTCGATATGGATAGATTGAGATGTAGAGAGAAGAAAAGGAATGAAATAGATACAAAGAATATAAATAAGAGATATTACTGTGGAGAGAGAGGGGAGAGGGATAGAGAGAGAGAGAGAGAGAGAGAGAGAGAGAGAGAGAGAGAAATGGGGAAAGTTTAAAGGTGGAGTGACATCCAAATATAAGTTGATTCCTGTAGATGTGCAGGGCTGCATACAACTCATACTTTGTTATTCAAAGATCTAAATATATTTCATAGATTTTTAAATATGTAGATACAAATAATTTTCTCAGACCTGCTAAGCTCCACCCTAAAAATAAAGATCCAGATCTCATTCATCCTGTGACATCATCTGTCAATCATTTGTGAGCTAACAAGACACAGTGGTTTGTAGCTTCACCAGAGCTGACCACCTGTTTACATTGGACCATACAATACCAACATAGGAGTTGCTATGTCAGATGTTCTGTAGCATCATCAGGAAAAGAAAAACTGATTTCACCAGGTGAGGCTCGAACTCACAACCTCCGCATGTCTACAGCGTAGCCAGACGGTCGCTGGGTACTGTCTATAAGTACAGCGCGCTAACCAATTGCGCCACTGGGGAAGTTAAAATCATGAGTCGATATGGATAGATTGAGATATAGAAAGTAGAAGAGGAATGAAAAAGAGACAAAGAATATAAAAGAGAGATATTAATGTTGAGAGAGGGAGAGAGGGAGAGAGAGAGAGAGAGAGAGAGAGGAAGAGAGAGAAAGAAGAAGAAGAGGAGGAATGAAAGAGAGACAAAGAATATATATCACACTTACAGATTAAAGAGAGAGAGAGAGAGAAAGAATATATATCACACTTACAGATTAAAGAGAGAGAGAGAGAGAGAGAGAGAAAGAGAATCGGAGAGAGAGAGAGAAAGAAAGAGAGAGAGAGAGAGAGAGAGAGAGAGAGAGGGGGGGCGAGATATGGGGATAAGGTGGGGTGACATCCAAATATAAGTTGATTCCTGTAGATGTGCAGGGCTGCATACAACTCATATTTTCTTTTTGAAAGATCTAGATATATTTCATAAATTTTCAAATATTTATACAAATAATTATCTCAGACCTGCTAATGCTACGGTCACTAAGGTTCGTACGAACGATAATTTCGTACGAATCTCCCTGTTTTTCTATTGTCTTCCCGAATTTCCATTGTCTGAAAATCGTTCGAACGGCGTTCGTAGCAGTTCATGATGGCATTTCAGACCGAGGCTTTAGCTCCACCCCCAAAATAATGCTCCAGATCTCATTCATCTTGTGACATCAACTGTCAATCATTAGTGAGCTAACACGAGACAGTGACATGTAGCTTCACCAGAGCTGACCACCTGTTTACATTGGACCATACAATACCAACATAGGAGTTGCTATGTCAGATGTTCTGTAGCATCTTCAGGAAGAAAAAAACTGCTTTCCCCAGGTGAGACTTGAACTCACAACCTCCGCATGTCTACAGCGTAGCCAAACGGTCGCTGGGTACTGTCTATAAGTATAGCGCGCTAACCAATTGCACCACTGGGGAAGTTGAAAATCATGAGTCGATACAGATAGATTGAGGTAGAGAGAGAAGAAGAGAAATGAAATAGAGATAAAGAATATATACCACGCTTATATAAATTAAAGAGAGATAATAATGTGGAGAGAGAGAGAGAGAGAGTGGGGGGGGGGGGAATTGCGATAGTTTAAAGGTGGGTGATATCCAAATGTAAGTTGATTCCGGGCCCCCCATTTACCATTTATGGTAACTTTGCCATCAATGGTAACTACCATGGTAACCTTGATTCTGATTGGCTGTTGAGCCCTGTTACCATCATGGTAGTTGCCATTGATGGCAAAGTTACCATCAATGGTAAGTTTTATGCAACGTGGCCCTGTTGATGTACAGGGCTCCATACAACTCATACTTTTTTTTTATTCAAACATCTAAAGATATTTCATAGATTTTCAAATATTTTTTACAATAATTTTCTCAGATCTGCTAAGCTCCAACCTTAAAAAAAGTGTTTAAAGATCCCCAGATCTCATTCGTCTTGTGACATCATATGTTACTCATTAGTGAGCTATCAAGAGACAGTGGTATGTAGCTTCACCAGAGCTGACCACCTGTTTACAATATACCATAGTAATAATACCAACATATGAGTTGCTATGTCAGATGTTCTGTAGCATCGTCAGGACAAGAAAGGTAATGTGGAGGTATTGTATAAAAGAATGCATTTCTTTTGTGAGCATGTGCTGAGCTGGGAGAAGTTACATACCACTGTCTCTTGTCCGAAAAATCTTTCGAAAAAATGTGATAAGTGTATCTTAAATTCAAACGAATGAAGAACATTTCAAATTTCACATCACTTCTACTTATACATGGTGTGTGGTGTTCACACCATTCCCAAATATTGAATTTGCCCTGCTTCAGCCCGTTGCTTAAATGATGTCGCGGTGAACCTCATGCGCAGGCTCTGTTGTTCAGAATCATTAATCTGGACGATGAGCGAATATGACATTAGCACTCCGGTACTAAATTGACACATGCAGATGTAGCAGAACATCACAATACGGTGATAAAACAAGTTGAGTATAACACATTTATTCGTATTTTTGTTTCATTGAAATACCTCGACAATAATGTAATACAATAACAAATAATTCACTTTTCTTCATTACTAATTATAAATCCGTGCTCTTTTCCGAGGCAAGTGTCTCATTTTGATTCTTCACGAATTCTCTGTCGTATATTTGCTTATGATGTCGCATTTGATATGAAAAGCGCTAAAAATGTTGCTATGTTAAATGAACACATACTCATCTATAAAGTATGCGCACAATGTTATCAATCATCAGTGTTTTTGTTTTGTTTTGTCTTTCTTTTTGTTTTCATTTACGTTTTTGTTTTCTATTTAGGGTTAAATCCATTTAATAGGCGGAAAAATATGCATGTAAGAAGCAATTCCTCAAGTGCAAGCAAATCTTGTTAA